ATATATATATATATATATATATATATATGTGCGTGTGTGTGTGAGAGAGAGATGAAGAGAAAGAGGACGCTGATCTTGTGGTTATAGACTGTTGGACTGGGTTGTACAGTAAATCCCTGTCTTTGTAAACAGATCAATAAACTCTCAGCTGTAGGTGCTTCTGTGTATGTGTGCATGTGTGTGTGTGTGTGTTCACACTAAAGCTTCTTTGCTCTCTGCTATAAGGAAGCATGTCAGAAATGTAGCAATATATATCAGACAGATTGATCACAGCTGTAAGCAACATCCAGCACTGCTGTATATATTCATGTCATATCAGAAGATGTCGTGATTTGCTTTGTTGTTCGGACTTACTGAACTTTCTCCACTTCCTGCTTCTTCCCAGACGTCAGATTATTCGGCCATGGCCTCACTAGCAGGCGGACTGGACGAGATGAAGAACAGTTTGGCCAATCCTGGTACAGGGGCAGAGTTAGGAGCCAGTGTTTCCGGTCCGCAGTCCTATTCACTAGTTCCAGGTAAGAAAGACTCATTTTAATTATACCAACAAAAAAAGGTGTACACAAATTTAACAGATGTTCCCAAAAAAATATTTATTTAGTACAACTCTGTTTCAATATCATATCTTCATCAGGCAATCTGAATTCAATAGATCATTTCTGGGAGCGTCTCCTCAGTGTGCATTATTATTGTTTTTGCCTTTTTGTCCACACACCTCACCACAATACTGGGTTGTGCATACACTACTGTGTCTCATTGAACAATTCTAGTGTGCATTTTAAGTGCTTTTCGAAATTGTGGGGGCATGGTCAGCGACATCAATTTTTATGTCCAGTGCGATTACATTTTATTAATGAGAGACTATTAATTTTTTCACTTTTACACGGCAGCACTCAAACTTTCATCATCTTAGTAATTTCCCATAAAACCAATCATGAAGAGATGAACGGTCAGATGTTGGGTGATGTCCTCTTTAATGGTCATGTGAAAAAGGTGAACGATAAGAAGAGGAACTTAGAGACAATTAAAGGTGAAAGCTCTAATTTTTCTCATCGGGAACGATGATGAAGACATTATTTGGTAGCTCTGCCTCTGTCGTTCCATAATTCACAATCACTTAACAATATTTCATAGGAGAATTCAATACATAGCATTTTATACTGAATTTACAATCAAGCCCGATTGATTTAACCTGTTTAAAGAGCTCAGAGCTTTGGATCTCAGGAGAGGTGAGAAGCCCGGAGGAAAGGAAGAAAAGACAGGTTGAAGCTTAGGGGAAAAGTGAGAGCCTCGTCTCTTTCTCTGTCTCCATTTAGGGGCACTGGGAGAGGCAGTGGTTAATTAAGAGTAGACCAGGGAGCACTTGGACAAGGCTTCGACGTTCCCATCTGTAATGAGGGGAATCATAGAGCTGGGAATTTGGGGATATCTGGGAATGGGCTTTTCTTTTTTTTTTTTTTGCCCTTTGAAACCACCGAGGAATATTACCTGCTTACACCGAGAGACAGACAGAGACAGAGAGAGAGAGAGAGCGAGAAAAAGACAGAGAGAGAAAAATTTCCATTTCTGCTTATGCATGCAAACACACACATTCATATTCACACACACACTTTCTGAATATTATGCATGCATTTCCTTGCCTGTCTTTTCCCTCAGAATAGAGCTCCCTCTAGGGGATCAGACGTCTGTGTGTTTGACGCAATGTTATTGCATCCTTGAAGTGTTGATACTCTGGACACACGCTGAAGAGCCACATTTACACACTCAATCTTCCTTTCTGAGGTCTTTCCAAATCTGTAGGGGCATTTTCATTTCCCCTTGAACTTCACCGGGGCTACACAAGTGCAAACACACAAAGGGACACACTGTGCGCCCCCGATCCCTCCAGGTTTGACATGTGTTGCTCTGATGGCTGTTTGATATGGAAGAGTTAGGTAGTGAGACAGTGAGGGAGAAAGAGACGCACAGGATGTGTGTTCATCTGTAGCTGCAAGTGAGCACGGAGGAGACTTGTACTTGTTCGTTGACCTCTACGGCAAAGCTGTGGAGAACAGATACATCAACACAACTGGCATAAATATGCACAACACACACTGCGTGCACAGACACAGAAACACACACAAACCCACACACACACACACACACACACACACACACACACACACACACACACACACACACCTCAGAGGATCTGGCCCTGTCTGCCCCCTCTAAGTTGGGCTGTAGAGAGTCCATCTCTCCTCTCTTCCACCCTCTCCTCCCTCTCCTCCTTGCCCTGTGCACTGACCCTGAGCGGATGAGTAGCCCGTCTGCACTAATGCCTCGCTGTCGCGTCAAACACCAAGAAAAACTTTACTACACCAAGACAGGAGAGAGGAGGCGAAGAGGGACAGAGGAGGCTGGAGCAGAGAAGGGATCTGTGGGAGAGAAACACAAGTAGGGAGGGGTGGATGCAAGTATCACGTATTAAGAGAACAGAAATATGAGAGGACAAGATGTTGGAGCCTCAGCAGATTTGTAACCACACGTGTGCTGTTTTTCTTTGCGTACGCCACTGTCTCATATCAACTCCATTTTTTCTCCCATTTCTGTTCCCCATTACTTTTTTTTCCAGTAAACCCCAATAGTTGAGGTTGACCAATATTGATACTTGAGAATTAAAACAAATTTGACAACAATGTATCGACCAATCCACATATCATAAACAAACATTTTCCATACGGAGCCCTTAATTTAGATTTTTTTTAGACATGCTGCAGCATGGCTCTAAGAATGACAGTGTCGTACTTTGGTCATTTCTGCACTATCTCAGGTTTGTACAGACATTCATGGTCCCCACAAGATGAATCCTAATGACTCCTATGATCCCCTGACTTTTCCTCTTGTGCCACCATGAGGTTGACATGTCTGGTTCTGAATGAAATGTCCCGACAACTTTTGGGTGGATACTCCCCCTCACCATAACTTATAACCTTCATATCAAAAATGTAACATTTCTTATGCTTTTGTTTAAGACTAAATACCAGCAGACACTAACGATGTTCCCATCAGCCTCTGCTGTCCTTTGAGTTTAGTGCTAATTAGCAAACATTAGCATGCTACTTGCTACTACAATTTTTAACACAGTAAACATTATACATGTTAAACATCAGCCTGTTAGCATTTATGAGTGTAGTTATATTTTCCTGTGGTGGAAATGACTAAATACATTTAGTTCACTATACTGTACGACATTACCTGTATATACCTATATTCATTAGCATATATATTTATTTGTCAATAATAGTTACTAGTTATACTGAGCAGATTAAGATTTTACATACAAAGCACATGATCATTTTATAAAATGTGATGCAGTTTTTATGGATTAAACTATCCAATGGAATATAAATAAGATAAAATCATCTCCACCGCAACTGACTATAACATTATAATGCTGCTTAAATGTTAAGTCATCCGTAATAATAATCCAATAATAATTTATAGTATGACATTTTGAAAGTGACCGTATCACATAATGAATATTTTATGTTTGATACTTGGATTGGCTTCAGCTGATAATACTTATGCACCTTTTACTTTAATTGGACTTTTACTTGTAATGCAGTATTTATATATTGTGGTATTACTTTGACTGTAGTAAAGAAACTTCCCTCACCACTGCTGTCCTCCTTCTCCACTTAAACCTTCCCTCCTTGTTTTAGTCTAACTTTTTCTCTCAATTCACACCATCTTCCTTTCTCCTGGTCTTTTATATTTTCTTCTCAATTTCACTCTCCTCCTTCTCCTCCTTCTCCTCCTCCTCCTCCTATCAGTTAGTTAGTGGTGGTTAAGTGGAGGGGAAGTGAATGGGATTGATGGTGTTAGCATCTGAGCAGTTTATGATGATGATAAATGTGTGTGTGCAGGGGCAGGGGAGGAGGAGGGCGTTGGTGGGTGTGTGTGTGTGTGTGTGTGTGTGTGTGTGTGTGTGTGTGTGTGTGTGTGTGTGTGTGTGTGTATGATGATGATGAATGGAGGGCCCCCTCTCCACGCACTCCTACAGTCTACTGCGTGCAAACACAGAGAAATGATTTGGGCTGACACACTGTCATGTAATCTAATGCAGTTATATATCCTATTCACCAAGTGACAGACAGGGTTGGGGGGTAGTGAGAGGAGGGGGGAGTCAGTAAATTAATAGATGCCAGTGGATGGAAAACAAGGAGAGAAGAAACAAAAGAGGGTCGCCCTGAATGTGTTTTGGCATGCATTCAATAAAGATCCTGCATGACATGTAGCATTCTCAAGGTGATTATTGTAACCCTTTATTAGTAAATCACTACTACATTCATTTTGAATCACTGGTATGAATGCTGTCAGGAGTGGAAAGCAACTGTCATTGGCCATTTCCATAGAATAGATTTAACTAATAACATAAATAATGGCTGTAGTCCATTCAGGTGTGGCAGTTGCAGGGTCCTGGTGTTGTGCAGGCTGGCTCATTCAAATGGCCTAGTGGACCTTTGTTAATGAAGTTAGTTACACCTGTGTTTTTCCTGCTTGACGATTTGATTTGAACCTCTTTTCCCTTAAAAGTCAATCTCTGAGAAAGCATTTTTTAGAATGATGTTTGAGAAAGAGCTATAAGGTTGCTGGGGTTATTCCATGTTTTTATTATTGTCAGTAAATCCCATGAAAAGACCGGACACCTCCAAGCCCACCTCTCCCTGCTCTCAGACATCCCGTCCGTGGCTCTCAGACCCAAATACAATTGTTATTACTGAAGACATAAATCTTACAAATAGGTCCCAAACATGTCACCTCCGCTTAAAATAAATAAATAATAAATCTTTGCAAAATTAAATAATAATAATTTCCTAAAGCAGCAGAGAGATGCAGTTTTAAGCCAACAGAAGTAAACTGTGCATTGTTGGTGGACTATTTTGCTACTGAGTATATACAGCAGCAGGACAGCGAATGTGGGACTGCCCCAAAATACACTACATCGTACTAAAGGAACGTCACTCAGTTCAACAATGTGGCTCATCAATGTGCTTTTAATGGCTTTAGATCAGTGGATGCTATATCAGGCTTTGGCTACAGATACACATATAATACTTCACTAATACTTCACATTGATCAATAGGATCAATTTATTGTTGGTTTTGGGCTTTTGATGGGATTTGTATGCAGAGGGACTGGTTTGCAATCTCTATGGTTACAGTGTTCTCCGCATTCATAGCTATTGTACAAAAGTATAACAGTTTATCTGACAATGATATAGTGAAGTTAAAACCTTATTTACTATACTGTATCTTTACTGTACTCGTCTGTTGTAATTCTGTAAGTATTTCCTAAGGGTAAAGGTCATATGCAACATTTGAGGGATGGTGCCATTTCAGTGTGCTTCGAATTTACATCTCATGAATCAAAATCTTAATCCCATTATGTAAAACATTAATTCACTGGTTCAGGTCAGTTGCTACAAATATGTAGCATGAAACAATTAAAGAACATTAGATATAGGACAATAACAACTATGTGCCAACAGCTTGCAGGAGAAACACACAGTATAGAGCTATGAGGTATAAAAATGATGATGGTAAATTAGTGACAGTATTGACACTTATTATTATATTGATACCAGTGAAGGTGATGACAGCATACGTGTGTGTGTGTGTGTTTGTGTGTCATTACAGGTCGAGACATAGCCAGCACCACTCTGCCAGGCTACCCTCCTCATGTTCCTCCCACTGGACAGGGCAGCTATTCCACCCCTTCCCTCACTGGCATGGTACCTGGTGAGTGTACACACACACACACACACACACACACACACACACACACACACACACACACACACACACACACACAGAGAGAGAGAGATAATTTAGTTACACTATAATAGTTTTAAGAAAAATGCCATTGTACTCGCCTTTCCTTTCCAGTAATTCGTTCATCTCTCGCCATCTTTTCAGCAGATGTGTAACTGTACTTACATATCTGTTTGAATCCCCACTGGATGCATGTGTGGAGTGTTTCCCGTGTGTGCGAGTGTCTTTAGGGGGTGTACTTAGCTTTGCTACTTCCTCTTTCTTGTCTGTCTACACCATGGCTGACAGTGCTCCCGGGGGGTGGCGTGTGTGTGTTTTTGTGTACATCTATTCATGTGTCTGTTTGTCTGTGTGTGTGCGTGTGTGTGTTTGTGCTTGTGTTGTGTGTTTCTGTGTATGTGTGTGTGTGTGTGTGTGTGTGTATCATTACAAACCAGCCACAGTAGCACAGCTGTCCCTCCTCAACATTAGTAATTTGTTTTTAATGAGAATCACCAGTGACCCACGACTAATTCATTCATTCCCTTCCACTCCGCCTTCTACGCCGCTTTTGTGTTTCAATCCTGGACCGCCATTCTTGCTCTCTGGTTCTCGCTCTCTCTCTCTCTCTCTCTCTCTCTCTCAGTCTTGCAGTGGTGGTCCTGGTCAGTGTGGAGTATACTGCAGAGAAATAAAGGGAGAAACACAAAAGCAACAACCGCAGTGAAACAAAGTCAAAACAATGTTGTTTACAAGTTCTTGTCTCTGTGTATTCCCAATCATTCAGTTTGTGACACACACACACACACACACACACTCGTGGGTTCTCACACACACACACACACACACACACACACACACACACACACACACACACACACACTCTCAGTGGACATGTAGGAACAGCACGTCTAAAGATGGGTGACCCTGTCGGCCTGTCCCCCTGCGCTCACCCCATCCTGTCCTCAGGTTTGACAGCATATTTGTGTGTGTGTGTGTGTTTTTGTTGGTGTATGTTTATGCGTGTGTTGGCATACAATTGTTTGTGCGCATGTGTGTTTGTTTTTGACAGTGTGTATGTGTGAGTGTGTGCGCGCCTGTGTGTGTGTGCGACCTTGACACTGAGCTACACAAGGGAGACCCCTGAGCCCCACCCTCCACCCCCTCTCTCCCTCCCTCCACTCGTTTCCTAAACAACCTGACACGTTGCCGTCACTACGGTGATGACAAGGGGAGGATGTTCGCACCCAGGGATGCCATGGAGACCATATCCCGACCCCACCTGACAGCTAAACATACACACACATAACTACACACATACACACACACTTGCACAAAGGGTAGTGCAAGAAAGAAAACTTGGGTTGCGCATCCAAACACACACACACACACACACACACAGACACACACACACACAGACACAGTCTCGACATCTAAATTCTTCTCAGTGAATATTCGAAGCTGCCTGAATCCACGAGCTGACTAGAGTGAGTGGAGGAGATAATCTCTCAACTTTGCTTCTCCGGCTTCACCATGTTTTATCTCAGCACTTCTCAGGCAAATTATTCTCCTTTTTGTCCGCTCTGTCTAATATCATACCTTCATTAAGCAAGCAACTCTCTTCTGCTGTTCTTCTTCTCTGCCTCTGTCTCTCTGTCTCTCTCTCTGCAGCAGGGGGGCTGACACTCAGAGGGGGTGTAGGAGAGCAGTGAGGCAGAACCGACAGAACGAGAGGGAAAGAGGAGGAATGGGTGGGGGGAGGTTGGAGGGAGGGGGCATCAGGGTCTGTGACTGTCAGCTATGGGAGAGGGATCCCCCGGGAGGAGTGAAGGTTCAGGAGAAAAGAAAGAAAGAGCAAAAGAGTGTAAAAAAAAAAAAAAGAGAGCAAGTCAGCGGAGAGATGGAAAAAAAAGGAGGAGAAGAAATGGGAAAGAATGTTGTTTTGATGTGAAGGGTGACGAGCAGGCTATAGTCAGGCGGGCCAGAGGACGAGAGAGAGAAAAATAAAGAGGAAGGGGTGAAGGGAGGGAGGGAGTGGGAGGGGAAGACAAGAGGGAGAGTAGACCCCAGACAGTAAGTAGTAAATGAGGGAGAAAAGCTACGCTATCATCCACTGTATGGCAGGACCACTACAGACTCGCTGAGCTCTCCAGCTGAATCACTCTCAACTAGTCTGCAAACTGTTCTGTAGAAAACACAGAACAGTAGCTCCTCATTACCTTTAAAGACAACACATCTACCGCCACCGTGGTTAAAGTTTGGTTTGGTGTAGGAACAAAAAAAAAAAAAAAGACTTGGTAAAGGTCAGAGAAAGATAACAGGTAACTGTTATAATTTACACAGCCACAAGAAATACACAAAACATGTATCCCACGATCAGTTTTTTGGAGTGTTCCAGTCATGGATAAGTGTCTTGAGAGCGAGACGATATAGTTAAAGCTTTTAATAATGTGCAGCAATTAACATTTCAGAGTAAAACATGCTGTTTGTCAGAAGCTGAAACTTGAATTATGGGCAACATCCTGGTTTAGCTAGTCTGAATATGCTAGCTGGAGTACTAATAAAATACAGGATACTTTGGTATAGGCTATGAATGCCTCATCCAGGTTTCTGATCACTGTGGAATCTGCACAACGGCATTCAGAGACATTGGTTAGTTGGTGAAACAAAACTAGGATGATCAATGATGTATTGACCACATTAAAAGGTAAATTAAAATCTGGTCTTTCTCTCATCAATCTTTACAGATGATGAGAGGGATACGCTAAATCTAACACAGTGGTCAATTCAGCAGCCAGAAACTCTGCACTTCCTAAAACACTGAGATGAGACTCAGTCTTTACAAAAATAAGGGATTCGTAACATGAAAATTTGTCAAAATGAGACACCTAGTTTCATTGTTTTTCAATCATATTCTTAATGGAATAAAACCAGGATAACACTCAACTCTCGTGTTCCCCATTTCCCGCAGTTTTACAACTAGCCTTTGTTCGTGCAGTGATGTCCCCCTACAGCTTGCTTGTTCTGAGAAAAGGCTGGCAGTTTAAAAAAAGTTGATGAGTATAGGGCTCCATAAAACACAAGTAAAATAAAAATAAATAGTGTTTTGCCCCCTTGATATCCAAGGAAAAAGTTTACAGGCAGGATAATTGTCTTTATACTTGTTGTTGTTCATAAACATAATTTATTCCTGTTTCTCTTTTTCTTTCAGGTGGAGATTTTTCCGGAAGTCCATATTCCCATCCTCAGTATTCCACATACAATGAATCGTGGAGATTTCCTAACCCCAGTTTATTAGGTAGGTGAATCCCATATCTCTCCAGCCAGCCTCTGCTTACCAGAACTGGATCAATAATTGTATCAATGATTTTTCATTTCATTCTACCTCACATCCTCGTTCCAGCCTGTCTAATACTCGCTTGTAATACGTATCTTCATGCTCCACTGTTCATTTTTTCATTACATTTCATTCTGTATTGTACTGTACAGTACAATACATCATAGACATACTAATGGTTCTGTGCAAGGATTTCTTTCTTTTTTTTTTTTTTTAAAGACTGGCAATTTGGGGTGTGAATGGATTTGAAGAACAGGACAGCAGAGAGCTAGAGAGAGAGAGAGAGAGAGAGAGAGAGAGAGAGAGAGAGAGAGAGAGAGAGGAAGGAACAGATTAGGAGGCGTTTATCTGCATCTCATCAGCATTGCATTTTGGAATTTGTGGGTTTTGATGTTATAGTTTCTCTGGAGGACGCTGACACTGATCACATATTTTTAATTTTTCATACAATCGCTCTTATGTTAATCCTCAATCAATGGTGGGCTGAGTTAGTCATTGATCATCAATCAATCTATGAGAATTTGATATGATAAATTGGAGATCAGGTTGCTGCTTATTACACTCAAGCTGCCGTCAAGCAGTGACATGTTGAACAACAATGATCAGAAGCAACTTTAGCTCACAGCCTTTGAGCTAATTCTCACTGTGAGGCAACGTGACACGACAAGAGTGACAACACAGACAATCTGGAGTGACGTCTGAGAGCATAATCAAAGATCAGAAATACATAAAAGTTTTTTAATATTTTGTAGAGGCTTAAAATCTTTATTCTAGCTTGGCCCTGATATACTGTATTTCTTTTACTGTCGACAAATCCCAAGAAAGTAGTTTATTTTGAGTCTCTACTTACTGCAGCCATAAATACTACAGCACCAAATCCATTGCCAAAAATGCAATATATACTCCTGTTTTAGGAAACTACTCATCACCTGTTTTTAAAGATTTAAACCTTAAGTAGTAACCACTGGGCTTGGGGCCATAGACTGGATAGAGACAGACTAACAGTTTTGGTCTTTTTATGGGATTGATTGACAATAAGACAAATATAGATTATCAGCAGCCTTATTATTTAATGTCAATGAATCAATAACAATACCAGTGACTAACTCATGACACCTTATGGCAAAGAAATCCAAACCAGAAAGTAACATCCCAACAATGTCTTCACACCTTTGCATCCATGTTTAACAGGACAAATGAACCCTGAGCCAAAAAATAGTCTGTGTCAAAGTCAATGTCTAGGGAGCCATTTCAGGGGTCATGTTTAAAGGTGAAAGGGTCAAGGGGTGACGGTGTAAAAGGTCAATAGGTGAGAGGGGTCAGTGCTGTGCTGACCTGTAGTATGCCCCCACCCTTTCCTCTCCTCACTTCTCCTTTCCCTTCCTTCCCTCCATCCCTCTGTCCCCAGTGTTTCAGCAGGATTATGGGTCTCTCCTGGGGACGGAAATTGGCTGCTCCTCCAGTCTCTTCACCAGCCAGGCAGGACAGATGCAAGGTAGGTGGAGAAAAAAACAGAGAGAGAGAGAAGAGAGAGAGCAAATGAAAAAACAAAGACAAATTAAAAGTGTGTGGGATGATTCAGGTGTATGTACAGAGGAAGGTGCAAAGATTAGGACAGATGATGGTAGAGCAGAGGAGGAGAAACTGTAAGAGACTTTAGTATGATAACGGATGAGCAGACACATAATATGAGGACAAGATGCACATTAGGAGACACTGAAAGGTTTAAGATTGATGGCAGGGGAACAAGAGAGGCTGCGATGCAAAGGAAAGGCGGGGAGAGATGAGAGAAGAGGTGACAAATGAAAGAAAAGGGAGTTAAATAAAGAGGCAAAAGGGGAGAGAGGGCGTCTGAAGTCTTGAGTGAGACTAAATAGTTTGTCAGGCCGGCTTAATGCCTCACTTCCCCAAAGAGCCTCCTGAGATTACCTGGACTATGGACAGACATAACCTGTCAACACAGCTTGGCTGATTGATGGAAGTGACAGAGACAGGTGTGTGTCTGTGTGTGTGTAAGCAGGTTTTTTCTGTGTGTATTAAGGTGTGTGAGTGTGGGTTGCTGTGTGTCTGTGAGGTTACAGTATTGAATTGACCTCTTCCCTGAGGAGAGAATAGACTCAAGGGATCAGTAGTAGTAGAGCTGTACTCAGTGTGTCAGCTTAGACTGTCACTTAGATCTTGTGTGAGTGCGCGTGTGTGTATGTGTGTGTGTGTGTGTGTGTGTGTGTGTGTGTGTGTGTGTGAGAGAGAGAGAGAGAAAGAGAGAGACAGAGAGAGGAGGGCGACATTGAAAGAGAAGCTTGTAAGGAAGTAGACTGAGTTCATTTTATTGGTTTTACATGAAAGGGAGACTAATTTTTTCTGTCATTAGTTTCATCGGCTCATGTCATCTCATCCCAGCCTTTCACTACTCACGTTCAAAGTAAAATATAATCTTGACAGAAAATTGAACCTGCTCATTCCACATTTACACTGTATTTCAGTAACCCCAAGTAGTTAAAGGATAATTCTGATTCATTACAACTTGGGTCTTATTTTTGTCATTTTTAAACATCATTCCTATCTGTAATAAGACTTGCACTCACCGAGGTAATTGCTGAGATCTGTGAATGCCACGACATTGCTTCGGAAGTTCAATTGGGAAAGAAACCTGAGCGGAGCCACATGACAATCATCTGTCAATTGTAGCAATGAGCCCACAGAGAATAATAATCCAACTCTGATTCAGTTCTCCCCAGCTCTGTGGAACATTTCACCGTCTTTTGAGTCTGTTGTTTTGGTTTTAGATTAAGCAGCTTTACTGTTTTGGTTCACTCTCTTAGCTTTCATCAGCCTATGTCAACATTTTTCAGCTTGTTGTGCTGCCCCCTATTGGCCAGTTTTAATGAATTCAGGTTTAAATAATCTGGTTAACCTGCTGGATTTGTTGCCACCATGTTCACCATGTCAGTTTGGTGACTACGGAAATGAGGCCAACTACAAAAACAAGACCCAGGTTGTAATGCACTGGACTCATCTTTTACCTAAAGACATTCACATTCTGCACTATATTTATTTCTTTGTTGAGCCTTGCAGTATCTGAACGAATTGAATAAAACGTGTCTTTGTTTCTTCTCAGGGTCACCGTACTACTACAGCGCGACATCACGGGGGGCGGGCCCTGCAGCCACTGCAACAGCCTCCGCCTACGACCGCCACTGACCCCTCCTTCTGAGAGAAGAGGAGGATGAGGAGAAGGAGACGAGGGAGGAAGGGAGGGAGGGATGGATAGCACCGTCACCGCTCAGTACAAGCCTGCCTACGCACGTATTTTTGACGTCAGTGAAGTTTGAATTTTCTTTGATTGACACGCCAACAACTGCACTGCTGGGCTGCAACACAGACATACTGCATTGGTATTACATTACTGTGATGATCACAGGCATGGCAATAGTCTCAGATTTGTAAGCAAGTAAATTTGGACCCTCCCATGACTTATCAAGGCTTGGTATACCTATCGTGTTTTTAACCAATCATCCACAAATCCAAGAGGTCAGTGGACTATGTGCGCAGCAGTGATTGAAACTGTAATCTGTATTGTGATCTTCTGGGTAAAATGTTGTGTTTTCAGGTTGGGAATATTTTTGATGAAATTGTTTGAGCTGATTAGACCAAAATCACTTTTTCAAACAGTCTTTTTATGACCTGACATCAATCAATCAATTTTCTATGCCATGCTACGGAGAAGTAAAGACAATCCAACTCTCATAACTTTGAATGACCAAAATCACCCATGTCATTATCATTCTAGTCTCTTTGCTGTAGATTCAACACATTTCCCCTGGGATCACAATGCTTAATAAATGGGATACCCTAATTTTCAATGGGAGCGTTCAGTTTCACCAATGTTTGCCAAGCCCCACCCACCTCTATTACTGTTACTATGCCTGTCAAGCTTTGTGTTCTCGCTCGGCACATATGCAGAAGCAAACAAAAACAGCTCATTAACAGCTTTCTAGAGTTCAAGAGTTTATTAGCTGCAGCTAGCAAGCTAATTAAGCTAGCTAGCATATACTTTTTTACCTTCTCAAATAGTATGTTTTACTTTTTAACATTACAAAAGAAAAGGCTTTTAGGATGAGGACTTTCTTTGGCAAATGTAGTTCTGTCATGGGTGACAGTTGGGGCTGTAGATCATTAACCATGTAGATGGTTAATTATCTTGTAAGTAACAGGAGGTTACAACTGTAGGTAGTACCACACATGCTAACATTTGTAGCTTTGAGTAAATAAACATAGTTTAATCAAATATTACACTTAATGATTTTGGTTTCGGAAAGACTTAAAAATGTGGAGAAATCCAAAGCTTGACAGGTCTGCCATGCTTAGTTACAATTGCTAAGCTATGATGGGATAATTGACATTGGCGGTGGGGTTTAGCGAGTCAATTTCTGTGGTTGTATTCACATCCTAATGTGTTTGCAGTTGTCCAACAGGGAAGTCTGTATCCTCACATCCATACTTGCATTTGAAGTGGTTTGAATGCCACTGACCAATGGATAAAGCACAGCATTAAATCTGAGCCCTCTACTGTAAATAGAACAGTATTGAACATGTTCACATCAGACAGAAATCAAATCAACCAGGGAGTGTCATTGAACAGGAAGGTGCTATCCTACCTCCCCAGCCAAGATTTAGTCCTGATCAAGAGCTATTTATAATGGAGGAGACACAGAGTAATATATTAAGAAGCTTTTCTGCGCTGCACTCCGTGATGAGAGTGAATGCCTGTAATGATTTATAATATGTGTCACGCTGTTGTGCTAGAATAGTGATGATGATGCTGATGATGACGACGATGCAGTGAAATATGAAATCTTAAAAACTTTCAATATGAGAAGAAGTCTTTGTTTATAAATGTGATCCGACTGCAATTTTCTTGTTTATAGTTTGTTGCCTGGTATCAGTTGACACAGGTGCCATTTAATAAGTCGCCATTTTTATCTGCTTCCTGAATATTCAAAAGAAGAGCCAGGAAGCAGTGGCACCCTCTCTTTCTCTCTCTCTCTCTCGCTCTCGTTCTCTTTCTATTTCTCTCTTTAAACTCCCCAAAGATGGGCCCCCCCTAGTGGATCGGCTGACAAACTACAAAAGCACAAAGAGACTCAATCATCATTTAAAGGCGCCATTTTACTTTTTTTTTTACTTCCTTTTAGAACCATGAAGTACTTCTTCTCCCCTTCTTGAGTGCTTGTCCTTGTGCTGTTAAACATCCTGAAATTGTTTCTATAAAAGCATCGCTTTCGTGAAAAAAAAACAAGTGAAACTGTTTTCTTCTTTTTTTCTTTTTTTTTTTATTTGTCTCCTACATCAGTTCTGCACTGTGACAATGCATGACACCAGGGTTGAGGCCTTACCCACCTAATGTACAGACACAGTAGGACAGAATTGCCCCTCAGCACTGATCTGATCAGTGTGTTACCCCTCCCAAATGTCTGAGGGCCCCACGATATTGATCTTGTGAGAGGGCAATATCTTCCTAAACCTGTACGTAGCTTCCTGTCTCACTTATGTCCATACAAGATTTGTACAGTAATCAGTGAAAGAGAAGAGAAGTCACAATGTCAATAGCAATTTCAATTATTCACATTTGACTTTAGATTTTAGTGATGGAGCTTTCTTTACGATAAAAAGATTAAGAGGTGTGTGGTGTTGTTTTAGCCATCGTCTGCAAGTGTTTACATATCTTTTGTTTGTTTGTTTGTTTGTTTTTGGGTATGTGTGACTGACCGTAGCGCTTCATTGCTACTGTGTAGTTTTACTAGCTAACAGATTGGAGGCACCAAATCTGCAGCGTGAGACATAAAATATAGCTATAAAACATATACCTATGAACACTGAACAAAGCTGTTAGTTTATCAATCTTTGTTGTTTCTGGGTTTTGAAATAGTGATAGAGTGGCTCCTTTTACATTTGTAGACCTTAAAAGTTGTGCATACACAACTCTAAAGAAGATTCTTATAATGGCTCACCTGCTGTGCTGCCAGCATGCACCGCAGCAGGAGCCTTTCCTTATTTCTGTCTTTCTCTCTTGATCTTTCTGAGGCATTATTGAACCTGAACCACACCAGCTGAAAACAAGGACAGTGCCTTTAGTTTTATATGTCAACAAGCCCCTGACTGACCACGAGTCACTAAAACAAGATTCAGCGTCCTTCCCTGCAATTCCTTAAACGAAACTATCTGCCCACGCAAGACAGGTTTGTAGATTATATAAAGCCTTCCACAAATAAGTAGCAAAGAGTTATTTCAATACCAACGTCAGACGACATTTCATAATATAAACAGCAGCAGTGCAGCTGTGTTAACAGGACCTTCCCCCGATCGAGCACCGTATACTATGCATCACCGTCCTGCGCATCTCCCATCACATGGACATTTCAGTCACAGATCCTCCTGTAAAATTTGTAACAGGGGTTACGCTGAAAATACAAACTCATCGGATTTTAAATATTCTCAGCCATCCACCAGCTTTGAAAAAAAAAAAAAAACCCAACATCCAACAGCTGTAAAACAACAAAAACACAATTTATTCTACGAATGGTTTCTTTCATCAATATAAGGCATGCAAAATCAAAGATGGTGCAGGACTCCTTCCTCACTGGAGTGGTGCTGAGCCGGAAAATGTACAAATGAGATTACACTTTTAATTGCCAGTAATATTGCAGTATAGTTTCCGGCCACCAGTGGCAGCACTGAGCGCTTCAGTCAGTGAGCGAGGAAGGAGTCCTGCCTTATATTAATGTAAATAAAGAGACCTTTTTTTCTGTTGGAATAAATCATGTTTCTAGCCATGCTGGCGGTGTAAGGGGATAACAGTGTTGGTCCATCTGTCAGTTGGTCAGTCCCCCATTTTGGTCCAGACTGAAATATCTCAACACCTATTGGCTAGGTTGCCATGAAATTTGGTACAAACATTCATTGCAACCCAGACAAGGAATTGTACTGACTTTGATGATTCTCTGACGTTTCCTCTAGTGCCAACATGAGGTTCGCAACTGGTTCAAGATGAAAAGTCTCCACAACTGTTGCATGGATTACCATGAAATTTGGTGCAGACATTCAGATCCCCCTCAGGATAAATTGTAATCACTTTGGTGATTCTCCGACTTTTCATCTAATTTGTTGACAACAAATAGTGAACATGGTAAACATTATAGCTTTTTAACGTTGCATGTTATCACTGCAGACTGCGAGTATGTTAGTATGCCAGTCTTAGCATTTAGCTCGAACCACAGCTGTATCTAAGTACAACCTAACAGAGCCGCACAGCTGTAGACCATCAGCCTTGTTATTTAACAGATATCCTTGTTTTCATCCAGCTTTAAAAGTCCCAGAGGAGGGTTTATATTTTCGGTATTCTTCCAGTATCAAATATTTATGTCAATGTCTGTGACTGAAATGTCCAAATTCTGTGAGGTATCATACAGGACCATAATACATGGTATGCAGCCCTGGATCGGGGCTACACAGAACCCCACTGGCTTGACAAGGAGTGAACACTGAAAAAAAAAAAAGGCACAAAATATACAAAAAGACCAAGTAAGCAACAGACATATATCAAGTCTGTTCATCAATATTGCTGTTTTTTTAATTGACCAGAGCATCTTATAAATGAATTACGCCCCTTTTCCACAAACACAGACACACGAATACACACACACACACACACACACACACACACACACACACACTACTGTAAACATGAAGAAATATTGATTGAAAGTCGTTCTCCTTGAAGAGGTGAATCCGGTCGAGCCTCCTGTCTCTGCTCACGAGAAGCTGCGACACCAAACAGGACAAACTTTGACGCCCGTTCTCTGGTGTAGCCAAGAATCCAGAGATACATTAACAGGATTATTTGTTAACTATGCATCTCATAGTAACACAGCTTGCCTTGCCATTGCTTTGACCTAACTGATTCGCATGGGGAGAGAATGGCTTTTCATTGGCCCGCAGTCGTTTCGATTGGCAGCCATGACATTGACTGCAGCGATGAGGGGGGACTGTCATTGTGGGTGGTACTGTAGGAAGCATGGCGGGCAGAGGCCACACACACACACACACACACACACACACATAAATGTAAGTACAGACACACACTCTCCCTCCCTTTGTCCTTTGCAGACTGGTGATCGCCCCTCCTCTCATGCCCCTGTGTTCCCCAGGGGAGTCCAAACCTGCTGTGCCATCAGAAGCTCATCCCAGCTTTTTTCTCCCCCTCCCTCAGCCCTAATCTCATCATATCTCATGCAATCGTCTTCCCCTTTCTCTCCTCTCCTCCCCTCCTGTAGCACTGCCACACCACCAGGATTAGGAATATTAAAACTATTCTGTTGATTTCAGGCCCATGACCTTCCTCAAAAAGTCCTCCCTCTTTCTTCAGACAGCCCTATTAATCCTTTTTTCGTCTTACTTTTCTCTCCGACTATTCAGACGTGATGCTCACTGTCCTGTCAGAAATTCTGCATAGGAATGAAGCAGTGTGTTTTGTGCCAAAGTGAGGTCATTTCAATGGCAATTTTGCTGCCAGTATCTTTATTTGGCCAACAATAGTCCGTGAGATCACATCTCGCACTCTGTTTTCTCCTCATGCGGCTAAAGAGCATTTAAAACACAAAGAAACACTAGTTTCAGATCAAACCAAGACATTTTATTTCCAGCACTGCCACAGTTTACTGTCCATGAAAATACAATTGCATCCTGAATTTTTATCCCAGCTCCAAGTCAAATAGGAAACTGAAATAAATGCAAATTAGTTTTTTTTCTTTATTATGATTTCTCACCGAGTGTGCACTGCCTGACTGTATCTCAATATGAATCCATGAAGATGGCTACTGCCTTTGTAAAACCTGAGGGGATTTCAGCATCACATCTTGACAGCAATTAGTGGCACAATCTGTTTCATGCTTGCTGATATAACTAGGCTCTGGACAGATCTCATACTGAAGTGTTACTATGTTCTGTACATCTTAATATTATTCAACTGTGGAAGAGGAGAAATACACACGACTCAGCCTACAAAAATCGACTGTGCTTTTTAAGCAGATGTTTCAATCAAAAAAAAAAAAAAAAAAAACAACAAAAAAAAAAAAAACAATTACATGATTTTTCATCTTACTGTGGCCTTTCGTGTAACAATCTGGAGTTTTTTTGTGTCCATGGCTTCCTATCTGGGGTGTTAAAGAGATATTTATATCTGTGACGTTTTGGTATAAAAAAAAATAAATAAAAATATGAACAAACAAATGACAGAAAGAAATACACCAGAACGCAAAGACAGACGCAAAGACGAAATTAGGTTTTAACGATTCATCTCACTCTATTCTTCAAAATCAAATGCGACAAAAAGAAAACATATCTGTAACATTCACCAAAGCCTGTGATGCCTGTTTTAAATGATAGATTCTTGTACAAAAAAACATATAAAATAGCAGAAAAGACTTACAGATACAAACACAAAATGAAGATAAGAAATGCCTTCAAATATTCTGGAGGGGAGGATTTAAAAAAAGTAAAAGAAATGCTTCTTTAAGAAAATGTGTATGTTTTTTATTCGATTTTCTAGTAGTTGCAAACAAAAACTTGGTGTTTTTTCTCTTTGTGTGTTGTGTGTTGTCTTAATATTTGAATGTATTTTACTGCAGTGCGAATTTGCCAAAGATATCATATCATTTGATTTCTCTCCTTGATTTTTTTTTTTTTTTTTTTAGTTTTTTTGTTCCTGAATTGTGACCAATTTTGTTCAGAAAACTGGAAATAAATGGTGAATTTGATATTATGCTTATTTTCTATATTTCTATTGTTAATATTGTTATTTTATTTCCTGGGTTTGAGTTTACTGTGAAATATTAAATTGCAGTTTGCTTGATGCATCTCTTCATACTCAGTCTGTGTACCTGTCCATCCGTCCACCTGAGTGACTGTTGTTGGTGAATTATTCAATTTATGTACCTGTAATGTGAAGCTAAGAAGTAATTATTTGTAAATATTTGCCATAATTTTATTGGTCCTTCAGAATAAAAAATAATTTTTTGGAAAATAAAGGTTCTGTGTCAATGTTTAGCTGCACATTTACATGCATTTTTAATGGACATCAACATGCATACAAACAATACAGACACATAATTACTGCTGTTGTAAATGTCACATTCCTCGACATCCAACCTCAGTCTGGACAGTCGGAGACTTCCAGAGCTGGAGGTTGTTTGTGTCTCAGTGTGACCCCA